CGTACAGAAAACAGCTTTTGTAAGCATTTACTACTCATAATAAGCTATGTTCTGTGCGAGAAAAAATTTTTTTCAAAGTCATAATTGGTGAAGATTTTGAAGGGGAAGTGGGTGTTTTTCTCCCCAACTTCTACGCCACTGGAAAAAGTACGGTTTTGAGACGCCCATTTGAACCGCCAATGTTTTCTACACAAAAAAAGTACTCTTGGTCATAAGCTCTAAAGTTGACCGTTTTCGAGAAAAATCTACTTTTATGTTGAAAAACATGGTCAATTTTTTGAAATAAAATTTTTATTTTACTAAATGTATTATAATTTTTTTTATCAAGTAGGCTTTAAATTTTAAAACGAAAGCTACCTCCTGTCAAAATAACAATTAGTTTGTACCTGCGAAAAGTCAATTTGTATTACAAAAGTAAAAATGAATTACACAAACGCTGAAATGTGCGAAATGCATTACCTTTACGGAATGGCGAGCGGTAATTCGGCAGAAGCAAGGCGGTTGTATCAAGAAAGACATCGTGATCGCCAAGTACCACATCATAACTTGTTTCAACGCATTCACCAACGACTATGGGAAAATGGAAGTTTTAAAAAGAATACTGCTGATAATGGGCGGCCTATGGAAGCTGCAAATGCCCAAGTAGAAGAGGCTGTCCTCAACGAAATTGAAGAAAATCCGATCACAAGTACCAGAAAAATTGCTCACAACTTAAACATACCTCACTCGACGGTTTGGAGAATTTTGAAAAGACAACTTTTGTATCCCTACCATATCCAAAGAGTACAAGCCTTATTGCCAAGAGATTTTCCGCCAAGATTGGCTTTTTGTAGATGGATGCAAGACAAAATAGCTCAAAATCCTCAGTTTGGAGCCGAAGTTATGTTTACCGATGAAGCATCTTTCTCGAGAGATGGTATTTTCAATTTTCACAATAACCACATATGGGCTGAAGAAAATCCACATGAAATTGCAGAAGGCAATCATCAGCAACAATTTTCCGTGAATGTTTGGGCTGGCATCGTCGGTGATCATTTGATAGGCCCACATTTTTTACCGAACAGATTAAACGGTGCAGATTATCGACAATTTCTAGAAGAAGTACTGCCGGAACTGCTGGAAGATGTACCGCTTCAAGTAAGACAAAACATGTACTTTATGCATGATGGAGCTCCGGCCCACTTTAGTTTGGTTGCTCGCCAATACTTGGACGACGAATACCAAGACCGTTGGATCGGTCGAGGAGGTCCCCACCCTTGGCCCCCGCGATCTCCCGAACTTAATTGTTTAGATTTTTTCTTTTGGGGCCATCTCAAAACCCTAGTCTACGCTACTCCAGTTGAAAATGTTGATCAATTAAGAGAACGCATTGTTGCATCTTGCGACATAATTCGGAACACTCCGGAAATTTTCTTGCGTGTTAGACAGTCAATGCGTCGAAGAATTGCTGCGTGCATTGAAGCTAACGGAGGACATTTCCAACATTTAATTTAACTGTGTACGATTTTTTTTTTTTTAAATTTTGCAACTATGAAGTTAACGTTTGGTTTTGTTACTTGTTCTAACGATTAAATAAATTTTGTTTAATTAGTAAAAAAATTTTATTTCAAAAAATTGACCATGTTTTTCAACATAAAAGTAGATTTTTCTCGAAAACGGTCAACTTTAGAGCTTATGACCAAGAGTACTTTTTTTGTGTAGAAAACATTGGCGGTTCAAATGGGCGTCTCAAAACCGTACTTTTTCCAGTGGCGTAGAAGTTGGGGAGAAAAACACCCACTTCCCCTTCAAAATCTTCACCAATTATGACTTTGAAAAAAATTTTTTCTCGCACAGAACATAGCTTATTATGAGTAGTAAATGCTTACAAAAGCTGTTTTCTGTACGATAAACGGTTCCGGAGATATTCGCAAAAAACGAAATTTTTTTTACAATTTCAACACCCTGTATCTCGAAAATTGTGCATTTTAGAGGGTAAGTTAATACAAGCTTTTTTTCAAATTTTTGGACGAGCTATCACATCCTGAAGTCCTGCGCATATATTATGAAACACCTTGTATAGGAGCTGTAAGTTTTAAAAAACACTTTGTTAACACAAAAATTTTTCAATTGAAAGCAAAAGTCCACCCAAAAATAATCAAAATCGAATAATATCTACGTATTCAAGTTATTTACAAAATTCAAAAATTTTCACTACCTTTAAGGCCATCTAGCGGCCAAACGAAGCTATTTCGGATATAGATGAATTAGCCTAAATCTGTCTGTTTTGAGACCACGAATCTGTGGTCTTCCGTTGTACACGTTATTCTGGGTCAGCCTGTATATTATAGTCAAGGACTACAATTGAACAAATTTTTAACATATTTTTTCCACGACATCGAAAATATAAAATAAAATTTTTTCGTGAACAATGAAAATCCTCGACTTCACCCACGACCATTTTGTTTCAGGCCCACCCCCGAGAATGACCACGCTGAGCCCTTAAGCGTCCCCCCGCTCCGCACCCTCGCTGGTCCAGCGCACCCTCGCCAGACTGGGAGGAGCCACGTCCATTATCCTGGACCCCAGAGGGGCTTATCTGGGGCCCGGCGAGGGCTCAAATGGGGCAGAAGTTTACGGCCGTCTCCGTCGCTCCCCAGTGACCGTACGTGGAGCCGCTTCCTCGCGCCACGGCAGATGGGGAAATCTGTGGAAATCGCTTTCTTCGCTCGCCCTCGCCCTTCGAGATATGATTCACTTCCGCGGCTATCGGCGTTACGAGTTTTACGACGTCGGGGCATAAAAAATGGATGTTATCGATGGGGGTGCCCTTTACGAGCCCTTCGAGGTATCGATTGTGCAGGGGGATTTGCATGCGTGGTGGACGAGATCCGAGAGCCGGGTTTGGGGCCTACGCAACGTTAAAGTTCGGCTTTTTTATATAAAGACGCGTATTATTCCACGAGAACATACACAAGATGCTCCTTAAGTATGTTGCGATAATAAAGGAGGTGATTTCCCTCTCAGTTCTGAGAAAAGAAAATTCTTACAAGTCTAGGTCCTAGTTTCCGTGTTATGAAGTTTTAAATTTTAGAAAAAAAATATTTTCGATTATATCTACAAATTATTATTTCTATTTTCAACTATTTTAACTCGTTTATATTTGGCTTAAACTGTTAAAATAAATGCTATTCTTAACATTCGGAGCCTTTTTCTTTATTAAGTATAAGAGTTTTAATCCTATATCTTATTTGTGCACCGAGAGAAAAAAAATAACTAGTGGTATAGTCTTTCCGATCTCAATTGAAGAACCAAGAGGTTGGCAGTATGTAGGTACCAGGTTCGGTCGCTAACGCAGCAACTCAGCACTGAAATATTTGAAAAACTTGTTCCCATATTTATTTAGCCGTACCTATATACAGGTCTGGTCGAACTAAACGTGGAGGTGGTAGAAATGTATACGCAAAGTTGAAAAATACGCGCGCTGACTAATGGCGTACACAGACAGCCGAACTGGGCGACTGGGCAATAAATCTCAGCTGTTGACAGGTGGCTGACAAATTTCCTAGCAGTGCAGTGCAGCAATGCGGAATTTGGTGTGATTCAGGTAATTTTAATTTATTATAGACAGTAGGCACCTTCTATTAATAATTCATATTACAATTGCGAAAGGGAGAAATTAGAGGGATATTTTGTTTGCTAATATTATTGCAACATGGCATTTTAGAGACCTTTTGAAACGGAGCAAAACGAAATTTACCGTCAATATAATAAAATTGTTTGAGGACATATACGAGAATTAAAATATGTTGTTGGCCAAATTAACATACATAGAAATTTTTTTCTTCACATTAAGTACAAATTATTATAATTTTTTACCTTTAGCAGAAAACTTTTTTAGGGACGCCTATGAAACACATTAAATTTTATTGCTAAGCGTTTTCATACATGTTTTACTGACTTCGGAAAGACTATAGGTACGTGAAAATTGAAACTCTAAAACTTTGCACTAAAAATTCAATAAACACTCATTTCAATAAATCATCTCTTCCGATTCCACTTATATTATTATTATTTTTTTCTTAAAAAATAAAACGGTTTTCCCAGACATTTTAGAATATATAGGTATGTTTTGAGGTTAGGTTTTTTCTTTTTGAGGTTATGTTTTCATTCTAGGCCGAAAAAAAGCAATTAACTGTGCCAAAGTTGTGTTAAAATAGACATAAATCTTATGAGAGATTTTATCACCAAGAAAAATAAGTATATGTAGGTATTGAAGAAAGGAATCGGCGTATTTTAGAACAAGTACCCACCTATCTGTACACCAGAATCAAAATGTATTAATTTAATTTTCTGCCAAAATTATAGAGAATTATAATGCACTTTTATTCGGATAATTAGGTATATGAAGTTTTCTTCTTCAATATTTTAGATTACCTACCTATTAAAAAATATACGGGGTGTATCTACGAATAGATGACTGGCATTTTTCTCCAAAACGGTTTAATATTTTATTTGATATTTTAATTTTAATTAAAATGAAATTTTACAACTTAAGACATACAATGCAAAAACCTAACCTAAAAAAGTTATAATCTAAAATGTCGCCGGGAAACATCGTAGTTCGCGACCTCTACAATATAGTTCAAAACTAACATCACTGACGTATTTTGTAACCTCACAAACTTACCTGTATCAAATTTGAATGCAATGTGTATTGATATTTGAAAAGGATACAATGAAAAATTTAAAAAAATCAACAACAATAGACAAAAGTCACTCTCTTACCCATCGTACTAAATCCGAGCGTAAGGAATTCAAATTTTTACTCATATTGATGACGAAAAATTATAAAAAAATCCTAATTCCTTTCCTTAAAATTTGTCCTTAAATTAAACTTTTCAAATGAATTTAGAAGCAAATTATGAAGTTCTCATTAATACGCTCTTCTTGAAAAATAATGGAACTGCAATACACTTTCTTATATAGTTAAGGGTTAGAAAAAATTAAAAACAGCAAAGTTCTTTATTTTGTTTTATTAACACCTAAAGTATTCGACAATTGACACTTGCGATATAATTTATAGCATAGCGTAAATATACTTGAACAATTACTAATACCTTTCTAGTATCAATATCGTGTATTGAAATAGAAAAAAAATAGGCCAATTTTATAACAATACTTACGAAGAAACATTTATGTGCATTTTAATTAAATATTTTTTCTAGGTACACGAGAGTTTTGTAAAATATTAGTAACTATAAAACGAATATAGAAAATCCAATCGATGGATAGGTATATAAAAATAACTACATTAAACATTAAAAAATGTGTTGTTCTAATACAAAATACACTATACGAGAGGTATTAAAAATCAATGTTCAAATAACCTTTTCAAGAGATTTTCTGTAGAAATAAAATTAATAATCTACAATTTTGTTGATACTTTTTCGACTTATGACCATTTTGTATAATGACAGAAAAGTGATTTCGTCTTGTTTTCTTTTTAACAAAATAAGGCCTAATGGTTCATGAACTTTGAACATTCTGTAGCTTAAACATTTGTCTTAAATCAAACGATAAACTGCAGTGTCAACCCAGGACATCTAGCAAGATATTATAAAAATATAGCAATATGAAATGGTAAATATGGTATACTTATTATAAAATACATAGTCTTAACATCCCAGCAAGCGTGCGGTTAGTAACGAGGAACTGTTGATTCCTAAAACAGAAAAAAAAATTAAACTGTTAAAGGCGTAATTTTATTTTGTAAGTAGGAATTCTACAAACAAAAGAAAATCACGCTTTTAACACGTTTTAACTATTTTTTCTATGACCCATGTTGTTGTTATCTGTAGTGCCAATAAACTACAGTTATTTATAATTCTATTAATAAAAGTCATAGAAAAAAATGTTGCGTTTTGAAAAATATACATGAAATTCTTGATATACAAAAAGGTGCACTAAAATACTATAAATACATGAAAATTGCAACTGAAATATATTTTCATGCTCTGCAGTGACTTATAAACATACTATACATTTTTCACGTTTTTACTACTATGCTGCTGTCATTGCCAAGAAAACAAATATTTTAAAAAAATTGACTTCAAAAAGTCTCCCATTATTTAATAAAGGTAGGTTTACCATATTGAAAAAGATTAGAAATATGGAAAATTACACTGAAGTGTTTACTATCTCGCTTTTGTCTTCACATTTTACTAACTAGTTTTTTCATGCAAAAAAGCACTTCAAGTGCCTTTGGTGATGTGAGGAAAATTATTAAAAAACTATTGGTACAGTGATGAAGGTGGCACAACTGTTGGAAATTTCCTAGTCAATTTTTTAGGTATTTAGTATTCTATAAAATTACAATGAATAAACATTTTCTTCCGATTTTTTTCTAACCTCGCTAATTTGACAAAAAATGAAAAGACTAAAATTGTTCCATATACCTAAATTCCAATAATAAAATGTCTTCCTCTAATACACATTTTCCATAGATTTTAAAAATATGGAAACACAGCATTGGAATAAAATATGTATTGTAAAATTACTGCATATGGATTTGGATGTTCGAAATTCACCTATGTTTCGGAAAGAATGCGATAATATTTTAAAAAGCTATCCACGAGGCATAATTCCCGCCAAAACTAACAGAACCATAGACAGAAAATCGCAGACGACCTACAATACATCACAGAATTTTGGCAAATTCTTATAATATACCTAATTTTAATATTTCGAAACTCGAAATAAAGCTAGGCATTAACCCAAATAATTTACAGATCCACAACTCACTGGAGACGGCCACAGTTCAAAAAGGGACGTTTTCCCAAACTGGCAATTTTCCGAAAATGACGTGAACTTCAACTACAAAACCCCTGCGGAACTAGCGTACAGAGTGTTCGGACGTCTACCCAGGCAACATGCAGTTCAATAACCAGTGTTGGATCCTGGTCAGTACACGTTGTATCCTACAATTTTTTATATATGTTATACAGTGATTCTCAAACGGTGACCAACTTAAAAAAAATATTTTTATTTCTTTTTAAATAATATAAAAACTATCGGTGGTATATTTTTCTAAATAAAATAGTACGCCACTGCTTTAAGGTAATAATCATGTTATTTTAGGAATCGCCTTTCAATTTTCTACAAATTTTTAAATTATTTGAAAAAAAATAAAAATATTTTTTGTATTTAAAAAACAAATACGAGGTTTCATTTCTGGTCACCCTGTATAATACAGATATTACATTGCTTGTATTGTATTGTAAATGAAATAAAATTTCAATAAATCTGTTTCAAAAATCAAATATCGAGTTTTTCTCTTACAAAAATAAATGATTTCAAAACTCCCATAGCTCATGTGGCATCTTCCACCGAGGCATTGTCCTAACCTGAGGTGAAGATCGTAAGAGATACAAGCTTATAAAGTTTCCATACAGGCACACTAAGGAGGCCATACACACATAAATGTTAGTGCTCGAGTCAAGCATAGACAGTAATATAAAATAAAGCTAAGTCGAAAATTGCCCATAAACATAAACATAGAAAACAAACTAAAGCATTTCTTAGTGTAAATGCGTCTTTAGATACAAAATACAGTGTGGACCTCCAATGCCAAGCAATTCCGTCATCAATGGAGGAAAAGCGAAAACGTCGACGTACTCTAACCCGTTGAGGTTGGCCTGACACACTATCCTCATAACCACATCGTAGGAGAATAGGCGACTAACCTTCCAACCTGACCAGACGTATAGAGGTGAACGACTGCGATAAGAGATAATCCAACCAATTAAAATCCGCGACACATTCTTATGAAATGAAGTCAATGTTTTTCGATAACAGAGATCTAGGTATACAAAAGATATCTACATATCCACAGTGCAGAGTAATTTTTATTTGAGTCTCAGATAAAAAATTGTTAAAAAAATAAATAAATGCGACAAATACAAAAAACATGCAATACACCAACTGTAAACATTTCTGTACACTAAAAACCTGGTCTGGGACGGATAGGATTTTATTAACAGACATTTAATGACGTTAGCAAACCGACCCGACGACACGGCCGCCGAATCCAGTTACCTGCGACCCGTCGAAGTAAATGAGCCTTGGGCAAATATTATGGGTAAACAGGGTAGGCCGGGGCGTGCCCCATGATTTATGACTGACCGACGGCCGGCCGGCCGCTCTAAACTGCACGTAATTAGACGGCTATGGACTCGTGCTGGGCCGGACAGCGGTCACTAGATTCGCCGCTCGCAGAACTGGTTCGTGCACGCGATACGGGACTTTACATGTGTAGTCGCTTGTAAAAACGAATGAAACATCCCGTTCGACCACCGAGCTGATCTGGCGGGCTGCTGACAACGCAGATTTATGGCTTTATAATGCGGTCGAGGTGTCATAATGGGTCAGCGGAGGGCAATTTTGGAAACGGCGGTCAATTATGTCCGTCCGAGCGGAAACTGACCTTAAGGCGTGTTCTATTCGCTGTAAACGACATTTAGGTGAGAATTGTTACCAAAACCTAAAATAATTAAAGTTAAATACACAGTGTTTTGTAACGAATGGGCCATAATGTAATAGGAGTCAAAATAAGCTGTCAAAGATGAAAAAAAAATCATTTTCTTAAACATTTTTTAAACACAACAGATATTTGAACCAAATTCGGTCTACGGGAGCTTTTCGTGATGTGGAATTCAAATTTGATGTGGAATTCAAAATTGATTGCCATATTTTATTGACATTCAATACGTTCGGCATGCAGCATGTGAAAGGTCTCAATTTTTTTTGGTTCTCACAGTAAGTGATTTCTGATATTAAACATCGGTTCTTCATATTTTTCTACGAATAAAAAGTATTCTTAGTTGAAATCTATATGAGCCTCAGTTTTAGAAAAGAATAATGATAGCTACATATTTTCAATACACATAGCGAACATAGTTTGCCGTAGCATAAAACAGTGGTAGCTATTTTCAATGCACATAGCTTCTATAGCACTAGAGTTTCTTATCTAACTCAGGCTTCACTGTTTCAACAATAGCTTCTTGCGAACATAGATAGCATAACGCTCTGTGATGCTTAAAATTAATAATTGTACTTATTTTCAATGCACACTAGAATAACTAGCAAATCACTTTCTGTTACATTAATAAAACAATACAATTTTCATTCTAAATAACGAGCATAGCGCTTTGTAGCTGTAGTTTCTAATCTAACATTAACATCCTAATCCTAAGTAGGAAACATAGCTTTGTGTTGCATTAGCATAAAACAATGATAGCTATTTTCAATTACTAAAGCGAGCATACGCACTGCAGCACAAAATTTGCTTGTCCATTTTCCCAATGTCTCTTAGCGAACATAGTTAGCATAGCGTCATAAGTTGCAGTAGCATAAACAATGGTAGCTATTTTCAATGCACATAACATTTTGTAGCAATAGAATTTCTCATCTAACTTAGGCTTCACTGTTTCAACAATAGCTTCCAGCGAACATAGGTAGCATAACGCTCTGTGATGATTAAAATTAATAATTGTACTTATTTTCAATGCATACTAGAATAACTAACAAATCACTTTCTGTTACCTTAGGATAAAACAATACAATTTTCATTCTCAATAACGAGCATAGCGCTTTGTAGCTGTAGTTTCTAATCTAACATTAACATCCTAGTCCTAGGAAACATAGCTTTATGTTGCATTAGCATAAAACAATGATAGCTATTTTCAATTACTAAAGCGAGTATAGCGCGCTGCAGCACAAGATTTGCTTGTCCATTGTCCATTTTAACAATGGCTCTTGGCGAACATAGTTAGTATAGCGTTATAAGTTGCCGTAGCATAAACAGTCGTAGCTATTTTCAATGCACATAACATTATGTAGCACTAAAATTTCTCATCTAGCTTAGGCTTCACTGTTTCAACAATAGCTTCTAGTGAACATAGGTAGCATAACGCTCTGTGATGCTTAAAATTAATAATTGTACTTATGCACACTAGAATAACTAGCAAATCACTTTATGTTACCTTATGACAAAACAATGCAATTTTCATTCTCAATAACGAGCATAGCGCTTTGTAGCTGTAGTTTCTAATCTAATATTAATATCCTAATCCTACGAAACACAGCTTTGTGTTGCATTAGCATAAAACAATGATAGCTATTTTTAATGACCAAAGCGAACATAGCGCACTGCAGCACAACATTTGCTTGTCGATTTTGACAATAGCTCTTAGCGAACATAGTTAGTACTTATAGCGTTATGAGTTGCCATAGCATAAACAATGGCACTGTTTCAACAATAGCTTCTAGCGAACATAAGTAGCATAACGCTCTGTGATGATTAAAATTAATAATTCAATGCACACTGGAGTAACTAGCAAAGCACTTTCTGTTGCCTTAGGATAAAACAATACAATTTCAATATCAATAGCGAGCATAGCGCTTTGTATGTGTACTTTCTATTCTAACATTAAGATTCTAGCATAAAATAATGATAGCTATTTTCAATGACCAAAGCGAACATAACGCACTGCAGCACAAAATTTGCTTGTCAATTTTGACACCGGCTCTTAGCGAATATAGCTAGTATAAGGCTTTGTGTTGCTTTAGCGTAAGGCAATATTAGCTTTATTCAATGTACATGGCGAGAATAACTAGCATAGCGCTGTACTGTCTTACATAAAGCAATGGTAGGCATTTTCAATG